CATCACCACGTCCGACGTCGTCATGCAGTGTATGAGCGACTCTGCAACGAACGGTCGTTTGTGTGCAATGTAGCAGCAGCAATAGCACTGACAGCAGTGGGAACAGCAGCAGCAGCAGCAGTACTAGTAGTAGCAGCAACAGCCACAGCTGTATTAGCACGTGCAGCAGTGAGTGTAGAAGCAGCATTAGCTAATCTACGACGATGACCACAAAGAGTACCGCACTGCCGAGAAACGTACGAGATTTCTGCAATCGTGTCTAACACGCGTAAATGCTCACCGGGCACGACGACCAAAGCGTGCGTGTCATCATAGACGTCCGTGTCATCGGTCCTCATGTGCCCCTGAGAGCTAAGCAGCTGCAGCATCTGAGGCATCAAGCCGCATCTCTGGAACAAATGCACGCACGTGGTGACATGTTGAATGACTGTGACAATCTAACCAGGAAAGTGCAGTAGTGAGGTTAGCCGATGCGGCAATGGTGGCAATATGGATGGCATCTGCCATTAGCACAATGGCATCTGTGTTGAACCTCTTTAAATGCTTCCTACCTTTGCCAAGAGGAAGAGAAGATCGTACATTGCATATCTCGACAGCAGTTCTAGCGCCAGTTGACAGTCGTAGTTGGTCGTCGTATTCAAGAATTCCCTGAGATAAAATGCAAAACGAAAACATTTGCACAGTGTGCTTGGTCGAATTTCGAGTAAAAAGAAATCACTCAGTGATGACTGAAGTGTTTGCAATAGATGAAAAACCACTAAGCCCCATCTATAATTGCGATGAAACACTGTACGCTGATGTGCGTGCTACACGTAATTTGCAAGTCAATGACCTATCGCACATACTACCTGAATGAGGTTTCAAGCCATACTGAGCTCCTCGATTGATGATCAATCACTTCATGGGTAAAACACAGCAAAGCTATATTGGCCAGCTGCTCTCGGTCAACTAACGTCATGTACATCTAAAAAACAATGACCGAGTCGATGACGCGTCACAAACTATAAACTTAAACACATTAAATGTTAAATGTTTTAATGCTAAGTGATAAACTTAATGCTATATTCAACATTAAATCTCGAGGTTTAATTTATGTTCTAATTGGTGTCATATAAACTTAATAATTAACACAACCCATAATCACTTACCTTAGAATTTGATAACAAGTTGCTGACATATGCCAGAATTTTTCCGATGTGGTTATGCTTTACAAAGTTGTATATCACCCGCACGTATGGAGACTGCAAGTAAGCACAGAGTGACTATTAATAAAAGTGTAAGACTACTCCTTCATACACAGGTGGTTAACCTGTCCAAATAGTTTGGTGGCACCAAAATGCAAGCAATCATTTCACAAGAATGCGTCACGAAATCCTTTCTGCCAAACCCAAAAGGTCTGTTGTTAACTTCGAACAATTACCTTTGACACCTGATACAGGTAGATAGCGTGACAAAACTGGCCTTGCTCTAGGTAAAAGTCACCTGCCAGTTCATACAGAAGATAGAGATCCAAGCCAAGCGAGATACCTACAACAAATCAGATTTCACTTCCACTTTACTCTCGCCCCGCAAATATAACAAGCTACTCTGGCCGCTGCACTACTTTACTGAGGTGCACACACACGCCATTAATGTAGAATCCACACAAAGGAATAAAACAACATTAATTCAGAGACCACCACAAAATTTCATCGTGGCTCTACAGAAAGTATGAGAGTACTCGCCACATGATACAATCATCAGCTAATAAGTTAACGAAGTTCTAAGTTCTAAGTTCTAACGAACTAAGTTCGCGATCGGCTCCTCGCACGCTGCAGGCTACACTCACCTAGCAGCTCGGTCACGTCGATGTCGTAGTTGTCGATGGTGAGATCGAGGAACATGCGTTCGGGCGAGATGCGCGGCCTGCACTCGTACACGGCGCGCCGGCCGACGATGAGGCAGCCCGTGAAGACGGTGTGATGCTCGAGGGCTATCAGCGGCAGGCTGTCGAACGCGCCCTCGATCACGGCTCCCATGTCCTCGCTGCTGCTGCTGCGCCGAATTATCCCCAGATTACCTGCGATCGTCGAAAACGTGCAGTGAAAATGTGCGTTCACGAAATATTTTTTTTTACATAGTCAGCTTTCATGCAAAGCAAAGGTATGAACGACTTAGTTTTAATATAAAATACTTTACTACCTATCCCGGATATCGACACCGACCGATCTCTAGCTGGTGACAGAATTTATCAGAACAAGGAAATATGCTATAGAAATGTACGTATATAAAATTTTAAAAAAGTTATTGTTTTCATGCAAAGCAAAGGTGAATGACTGACACCTGCCGACCCCTAGCTGGCGAGAAGATTTATCAGCACAAGGAAATGTGCTATAAAAATGAATCGTTATAAAATAAACAATTTTTGTCAGATTTTTCATGTCGTTCTAAATAGAATGCCATAAAAACTGTCTAACATTTTTCTTAAATTTTACAAACATACATTTTCGTAATATATGATTTCCTTGTGCTGATAAATCTTGTCACCAGCTAGGGTTCGGTAGGTGTCGATAGCTAGGATAGGTAGTGAGGTATTTTATGTTAAAACCAAGTCATTTACCCATGCTTTGCAACGTGTAGGGAAAATCTTTGTATACCTGTGGCAATCGCCTGAGCCACATCATCGATGTGTTCCATATCAGCGCACTCAGCTACTTCTGCTTCATCAATGTGAACGTGAAAAACCACGTTATCATCGGCTTTCGCCGGTTGGAGTGGCACCGTGGCATCGGGCGATGCCCTACAACACAACACACGCACACACACGATTAAAGCTATATATCAAACAAACGTAGCAGCTACAGTACACATCCAGTCATCAAACGGTTATATTATAATATCATTAATAATTGGTTAAAACCATATAACATTCTTGAAAGTATTATAGTGCATTGTACTAATCTACACAACAGAACTACTTCACATTTTAAAGTACGGCAACAACGTGGAGTGAAGTTCATCAGTGAAATGTACCTGTTCGGTGTATTTGGAGGCACAGTAATTTTTTTGGTTAAACCCCTTGCTTTTTTGTCACATTTTTCCTTCAACGTTAGCATGATATCAGCAGAAACAACCTGCTGTTTAGCTGAAGATGCTTCGCCAGGCACCTGTGTAAAAGAAGAACGAGATAACTAAATGAACAATCATTTTTAGGACTGCGATAACAACAAGTCGCAAGTGCTATATACAAGATCAGGAAATCATACACTAACTATCAAACAGTAAAAAAACATAAAATTACAGACTTGTCTTTGCATTAATTGAATTTCAACACCTTTTTGGCCACGCTTCAACACTGCACTAATTTATGACTAACTACGAACACTAGAATTACTAACCTGAAATAGTAACACAAAACTATTGTCCCTACAAGATTCAAAAACTGAGAATCAGTCAACAAATCTTCATATCATCCTCATATCATTAGCTTAAGCACACCCAATCAATATTATTGTTCCACATGGGTTTACACATTTGGTACAAACCGTTCGCCCCATCTCTTGTAGGCGTGCATGCTCGCGTTGCTTGTGCAAGTAGAAAGGGTAATTTCTTCTCACGATTTTCAAGTCCTTTCCCATTTGCGAAGTACTGAACTGCTGCACTTTAGATTCTTCCTTGAATGACTATAAATTAAAAAATAATGTCACATTCTCAAATACGTCATTAACGTTCACGCACAAATAAATAAAGGTTTTGCATAGCTGGTGGTGGCTTTCATCATCGGATGCACTCACTGACAACAAACGACACATCCAACGAGAGCCATCTTTCATATATGTCCCGTACCGGGTTGATCTGAGGTCTGTACTTCCCTTGTACCTACTCACATATTGAAGCAGTAGGTGGCGCCAGTAGTCTGCACGTTTGCAATCAGTTGCTCCAGTGTGCAAACTCACTGTCCTCCTGCCAAAGCTATGGAGCTTAAGAAACACTCAGAACCCAAAAACAACCCGTTACATGAAGGATAACACTTATACTAACACCCGCACTGCTGCTCATACGTGAACGGATCCATTAGGGCCATGTAGAATACCACAGGCCCTTACATCACACGTAGAAACCTAGAACTGATATCCACACATCTCCTGCGGTTTAGTAAGAACGACGACGGAGCCATTCCTACCTGCTTTGCTTCCGTGTAAGACTCCGACTGCTGATTGGACAGGACGAGCACCGTGTCATCAGCGAGAGTAAACAGCAGATGGTCGGTGACCAGCACCTTCCCACAATCCTTCGGTACGCGGTAGATAAACACTGGCGCCTCCTGTTCTATGCCGTCGTACATCTGCGCGACAACAAGAAAACATCACAATTACGATGTCCAGTCCCTGCACATGGGACTCTTTATATTGCAATACAATGCCTTTAAGCACTAAGAGTTCGTCCTCTACGTACGTAACGTCACAACTTATGACGTCTATTCCCTAAATCTAGTAAACTTTTTTGCATTACAATGCAATGCCTCTAAGTACCGAGAGTTATCGGTCGATTTCGTCGATTAGCGTAAGATTATCGGGTATCAGCCGGGTTTATTCAGAACAATTAAGTCAGGGAGTGAAAGCTAGAGTGTGGCGACTTTTACCCTAAGTAAACCGTCTTTGAAATTTTGCTTCGCTAGTAGGTATCTGCTCTTTGCATATGCCGTAAACACATTTCCTCCATCGTCCTGCATCTTGACTGGTAGAAATCGTGGATGTGAATCCGCTGAAAGAGTAAAACGATGTTATTGTATTAAGGGACGACTGGACTTGCAAAATCATAACCCATTTATTCTCTCCTCTTTCCTCTCCCATTCTCCCTCTCTCTTGATTATTCCTCTCTCTTGCTCTCGCTCCCTCTCTCTCCCTGTCTCACTCTCTCTATCTCTATCTCTATCTCTATCTCTATCT